GCCACCCGGGCAAAATTCAAAATTTCCTACCAACTGAAAATATTAGGTGTGTCCCGCGCGCTCAAATGACCTTGTGCAGTTGCGAGCGCCGTAAAACACTTTACAAAAACAAAACAAACAAAAACAAAAGACAGCATTTCAACTGTACTCAATTTATTGTTTGTAGGGCCATATCCTGTTGGGGCCAAAGTTTCCTTTTGATAGATTTCCATTAGATGTGTAAATCACAAAGCACACCCTCTCTCAATCCATACAAGCAGTCAACGTTACGTCAAATAATTGTAAGGGAAGGAGAAACCTAAGCTTCGTTTTTGTTCTGCTTCTAAGTTGGGCACTTCTGAACTGGTCAGATGTTCCTAACCGGCGTATGTGGTATAGCAGTTAGGTGCTCCGTCGTCTCATGCACATGACCCGAGTTCTATTCCCATGCAGGAACCCATTTATATTGAGTACCTTAGTCTGGCTGCTGGGATTTTGTATTCATTTCAGCACAGGAGAACCCGTTTTCGTCCCACAATATTTATTTTTGAATTTTCTTATACCCGTTCCCGTCCTACTCGATTTCGTCTCACTTTGATTCCATTACTAACAGTTACCGCAATTGCCACCCCGATTCGCAAATCCGGGTTTTAACATCAACAAGTAAGCGGAAATAGGATTTTGTGAAACATGAAAATGTGTGTTAAACGTTTGCAGAATACATGTCTCTGATAAAACGGTTTCGATAAAAATCTTTGTAATTGAACTTGTTAAAATTTTATTATAAATCACGGTTAAAACTTTGCCCATTGTTTACAGCCAGTCTGCAACAGACGATAAGCTGAAATTTCTATCAAACAGCAGAGTACGGTTCGTCTCAGAATATCACCACACACGCACATCAGAAAGAAAGAAAGAGAGAGAGAGAGAGAGAGAGAGAGAGAGAGAGAGAGAGAGAGAGAGAGAGAGAGGGAGAGAGAGAGAGAGAGAGAGAGAGATAGAGAGAGAGAGAGACAGAGAGAGAGAGACAGAGAGAGAGACAGAGAGAGACAGAGAGAGAGAAACAGTGAGAGAGACAGAGGCAGAGACAGAAACAGACATGCAGACAGACAGACAGACAGACAGACAGACAGACAGACAGACAGACAGACAGACAGACAGACAGACAGACAGACAGACAGACAGACAGACAGACAGACAGACAGAGGGGGTCGATTGATAGACATCAAACATGAATCGGTTACATCATAGTACAGGGGGGGGGGGGGGGCAGAAACGGGCAAAATCGTCGCTGAAGAAAGTAGGACGAAAACAGATATTGAAAATATGTTGTGGGGCGAAAACGGGTGCACCTCTCAGCCTTGTTTGGCCCTGACAGGCAGAGTTCAAGTCCACCCCAAAAACACAAAGCACCAACTTTTGTCAAATCCAATGACGGGGTCGGTCTCTCATTAACATTTCCAGTTCAAGCGTTCACGATTCTTTAAAATTATGTCAAAAGTACCTTAGTCCAAAATACCAATTAACAGAACTACACTTGGCTGACACGAATAATTTCCTAATGTTTAGAGGTAAAGGAAAGTGTATCAATTTAATATAATAGCTATCACATTTTATAGTTTTGCGCGAGGGAAACACTTTGTAACAGTCGGAAACAGCAGATGTTCTGAACAGAAGTTGACGTTTTTCATGGTGCGTTCAAAACCACTTCCAGTTCTGAATTGGGCATAGAACCGTACAATAAAAAAGGCCTTAAAACATCGCATTCACCCACCGTGCTTTTCGTATTGAACAATCAAAATACTCTTCTAAGATGTGTCTGTAGTGTAACGATTCAGCACTTCGAAGCCACGTGCAGAAGACACGAGTTCGATTCCTGTGTGAGGTGGGTTTTAAAAAAAAATCTACACGTAGTATTGTAGTATCATTGTCTGTTTGCTGGGGGACTGTATCCATCTCAGTTATTTATTTACGAAAACTTTTGATCCCATGTCTCAGTTTATTGTGAAACGTGATGATATCCCATCCTGTGACCTCATTACCACACCCACAGACGAACAATTGAATAGTGACACACTATTTCTTTATCTCAACTCGCATGGCCTTGCATGACGATATCATCCCATCCTACGACGTATTTCACTATGACATCTAATCTCCTATTATCTCACCCCGCAAGTTGTTGAATGACGACACGTAATCCCGTCTCACAGCCCATTGCACGGCAACACACCCTGCAGAGTGGGTCTATTTTAACTAAAATGCACCCGCTCTAATCACTGGCATATACCTATTACCGCTCTGGTATCATCAAGAGTTGCGTTCAGACGAGGTTGATTTGTTGAGCCTTCAGCTGGACAATTTGTATTTGAAGTTGACTTATCTTGACTCTTTCCTTCTTCTTTGATTGGTTCTACCAAAGGTGCAAAGAAATTCGCGACAGCTGTTTCTGTAATTATTATTACATGTATGTTGAAAGGTTTGCAAAGCCAATGCCATACAGTAGGGAAAAAAGATTTAAAACACTCTAAGAAGAACAATGCTCTACGTTTATACTTCCAAACGGTACCCATTGTTGTTGTTTCCAGAATTTTACCATTATTTTTGTCCTGTAAAACTGTGTACTATATATCCCCCCCCCCCCCCCAGCCACCAAAAATATTTTTAAAGTATTTTTGAAATAAATAAATAAATAAATAAATGAATAAATAAATAAATAAATAAATAAATAAATAAATAAATAAATAAATAAATAAATAAATAAATAAGAAAGAAAGAAAGAAAGAAATAAGTAAATAAAATACAACTTCAAAAACAGTTAAATTTGTGATTATACTTTTGTGAAGGTATAAGATATGTCGATCCTGTCCTTGTCAACCCAAACTTTATCTCTAACCGCGTGGTCTGTGAGATCATGCACGACACACCATGGTCCCTATGGTCAACGGGTTAGCCCTAGAAGCCTGTACATGTATTTCCCCGTTTTGAGCAAAAATTTACCCTATCTGTTATGTGACACAGCAGCTACACCTTTAGGAACATCCTACTGTCCATTACTGGGACCAGCACAAAATTGGTATATGATATATTCCTTCAGTAGTAGTGAGAAAAATGTACATTCAAGCCCCTCCCCTCCCCCTTTTCCATCTGTAAAAAACCGCCACATCAAAACTAAACAAAAAATGCACAAACACAACCCACCAAAACTAACAACCCCCCACCCCCTCCCCCCAACCATCACCACCAACAAAAAAAACTGTTACTTTACGGCTTAACATGTTTTTTAAAAATGAGTCGTCTGGTTGAACAGGTTCCAGTTACCCTTTTCACTCTGATATTTAACCCCTTTTGTACCACGTTTTATAACCCGGAACTCTGAATGCCTAAACTCGAAATACAAATGTACCAGTGCTCTGGCGCTTGGAACTGAAAGAGTTAATGAGGCTGAACTAATGTGACAACGGATTTGTGTGGCAGTGTTGCGGATATAAGCAGCACAATGGAATAGGTTTAAACAAAGATACAACCATAGGGAAATGGAAATGCACCAACATTGTCTTTTGTCCTCGGGTGAGATCAACGAAGCGTGAGGCCAACGTTCTTACGCTCAATGCAGTGTACGAATGAGAATGTGTTGTGTGGTGTGTTGATTGCCTTTACCATGTAGGCTATTATGTTGTAAGGAATCTAGACGAAATTCTTTTGCTGTTTGTAATCCGACGCCTGAAGTTGACTTTATAATGCAAAGCTGGTATTTAGGGAAGAAATAAACGTGGAATCAACAAAAGCCCATTATACCTAACACATCCGATTAGCGGGTGGTTGGCAGGTGCTCTGGTGTAGTCTGCTCCTTCTTTCCTTTATTATATACCGGTATCCTCTTTTGTCCTTATCTCTCCTCCTTTATTTTGTTTGTTACTCTCTTGTAACAACTCTACTAATCTTCGGCACTTGCATGACCTTATTGTGTTGCAAATGCCGTTGAACTTTTACTGAAACTTAACAAACACACGATTGTTACATGTACAACGAAATAGCTCGCGCTCCTATTTGAAATTCCTTGAAATTAAAAAGAACGTCCTGAAATATGTTGGGGGGGGGGGGATTCATTTATGAAATGACGCGTTTGCAACTATTTACAGGGTATCTTATAAAACAGGTGTAAAGATTGTTTATAAAGCGTTTCTATTTGAGAAATGAAAGAATGTTTTCAGCAACGATGGTGACATCGAAAAAGCGCACGGAGACTCAGATTTTGGAGGACGTTTATTTTAAAGTAGTGCTTGCCAACCTTGGCGATGTCGCCGATTACTATTAGTCTAGGTTTGGTAATTTCGGTGGGCATCACCCAGGTAGTGACAGCTATATAAGTCAATGCCATACTGGGAAATAATATGGAGATGGGTGGTTTCCCTCCTATAAATGGTAGAAGTAGGCTCTGATTTAAAAAAAAAGTTAACAAGCAATGTTCTAGTGAGATAACCGTCTCATGGTGTATTACTTATAATCAAGCAAATAGCGCTGACAGTATTTAAAGGTCTTAAAAAGTTTCAAATGAATGTTTCACTTATGAATCTCTGAACAAATTGTAAGTTATAACATAGGCTTAACGATAGCTGGTCGGTTATTGTGATACAGTTGCTTAAGTACATATGCAATTGATCGACTGTACAGAAGTTCGACGATGTTCGAATACGAGCGGGGTCGAACATTTTTTGTCCTTCTTCCAGTAACAATTATAACTTTCCCTCAGGACGACGCCCAGACGTAGGCATCGAGTGATTAGCTTCCAAAATGATCCACTATGTGTCTAGTACTAGTACGGATTTAAATGTCAGCAAAAACAAGACAGGAGGTTGGAATGCGCTCTATTAGACCCAACAACCTTTTTCAGTTCATGAGTTGTTTCTGTCTATCTACCTTGCTTATTATCTGCATACAACGGTGATTATCGAATCCAATGTGTTTCCTTTCACTATTTAACTAACAACAACAGCGACAATAAAGGAAAAAAAAGAAAAGAAGGAGAAAATATGCGCGTTTTATTCGTACTTATGTTGTACAGCATACAAAGAAAACAAAAGCATTCGGAGAAACTCAGGCATCAGATATATGACCTACATAAAATGATAACACAACAGAGGAGAACCATACAGTAAGTGAAAACAAATTAAAATAAAAACTAGTTTTAAAATATAATATTTAGAATTGACCCAATACGCTTATTCTATATCGTACTATGCTTACAAGAGTTTGAGAAATTCGATTACCCCGATTTTGCAGAGACTAATTTCCTAAACGGTTTTGTGTGTTGGTCCGTTCCTTAGCACCCGTAGCAACTGTTTGTTCTATGGCCATACTCATCCACTCGATCAAAACTCGAAACGTGGCGAGTGCAGACCAGTATGTCGATCTCTGTCTGTTGCAACATGTTAGATCTATCTATATTTGGAATCAGAAATCGTTATTTTGCTGAAAGGTCTTTTACACAAGTTAAGTATCAAAGAATACGTCCTGACACACGGGTCTCAGTGTTGTAATGGTTGGGATCATTGCCTGGCAAGCTAGAGACTTGAGTTCTATGGGCACCTGGGTAAGATATAATATTGAATATCCCCTTTTTTATGACATGACGAATCCAAATCAGGCAGAACTGACATTAACGGCCTCCAAAAAAGAACTAAATTGTATTGACTGGGGCGTAAAACATTCCAATCATCATTATCAAACAATTGAAGTGTTCAACCGGTCGCAGTTTTGAAGCAAAAACATGTAACTCAAAGCTCAAACGTTCCACGTGTACACACAGTGCGCTCGAGATCTCACACTGTCAGGAGAATGCTTCTCTGATGACCACTCTGGGTTTATCATGTACTCTTTCCCCTTGCCCGCCATCTTGTTAGATGTGTGCCGGAAACAGCAGGCTGGGTCATTGGTCTTTTCAATGTCGGGGGGAAAGATGATTGACATGGGCCGAGGAATCACCTCCGCTGGCAGGAAGATTTTTGGTCTGGACGGAACAATCCTGTTTAGAAAAAACAAATAATAAAAGCATATTATTATAGTGTTGTACTTTTGCATTTCAAAACTGGTCGGGCTCTTGTGTTTTACAGGATATGTTTTAGAACTAAATCGTAAGGTACAGATGTGGACATTTATTTTTGAAGGGGAATGCATGATGCAATAAGTACTATACTGTAAGCCTGCCACAAGTTAGAGAAATTATTCACTTGGGTTTCCCAAACCATAAATTACTCACCAGGGATTTAGATCATATTAGTACGGCTCAACATGCGAACTGAGCATTTGGAAGTTCTATTTGATTTAACTTTTGACCACAGTTGGAAGTAAACCTTTCATTCTAAAACGAGAAGTCAAATGTGATAATTATTGCCGTATTTAAGTCATTAATTGTTTTTCTGAAAGTGTTTGGATTGTTTCACATTAGACAGTGTACAGGTCCCAACTAAAAGAATCATCAGAATGAAATTATCCCCCCCCCCCGGTCTCCCGAACCACCCGATCAAACAAAAGAAGAAAAAAAGAAAACACTAGAAAAGGATAATATGCCCCAAACCACTTGAACGAAAGTTTAACAAAACGGTATCACTGCAATGAGGCTTACTTTTTCACTTCATTTTCCCACTCTCTCATATCCCGAGTCGTGTAACCGGGAAAGTGCATGGCGTCGTTGACGTGAGGCAGGTGGCAGATCAATTTCCGGTTGAGCGCATTATAACCAACGCGCATCTTGGTCTTGTCCGGGGGCATGGTAATGGCGGTGTGGTAAGGAATGAGAGCGTCTTTGCTGCGGAACGCGGTGCTTGGCGGTGCACTTCCGCTCTGGCGACCATAGGAGAGGGGAGGGAAGCTGACGGGGTCATCTCCATTGTCTATCGTTTGGGAAGATGTCGCTGGTCGTCTGTGCCGAGCTCGGGTGTGGTGGTTGCAAGATCTGCTGGACAAAACCTGTCTTTGGTCTAAGATGTCGTTCACATGGTACCCCCGGGCGCTGTTGGTATCTCCCCCTTGACTGCGCCTCGATCTGCGGCTCTGCAAATTCCTCCATAGCTCTCGAATTGCGTAGGTCTCTGAGGATGCGTGTTTATTTGTTGTTTATTTAAATCAATATGTATGACTTGGGAAACTTAAGTGAAGGGTATTAACAGTACCTTAGAATAATTGTAGTCTATTAACAAGGATGAAACAGTGGTTCACTAAAGGATAGAAATAATATTTGACCCCTACCCAAAAACAAAAACAAAAACAAAACAAAACAACCCCCCCCCTTCCAAC